TGAGACACAATCGGACGCCACATTTGAAGCGCCCGTTTGGGGTCAACATATAAATGGCCGGCGGCTTGAATGGGAACTCCGACGGGAACTGTAGCTTTCCGTGATATACGCCACCGGAATAGGGGGTGCCTTCGGGGCCGTGAACCACGTAATGCCTGTCCATATGAATGGCAATACTGTTAACCTAATTATCACATCATATGTCATGACTACAGACCACTCGAGGATGTTGTTGTGGAGGGGATGGGCGGACACGTAGGGCACGGGATCCTTAATGATGCGCATGTAGTCCTGTTTGAGTCGTTGTGTGGCTGTCGTCCCCTTCATGGCCCGTCTCGGACCCGATTGGCCAGACATTAGGTCCCAGTCTTGTGACCAACACTTGCCGTCAGCGGGCGATCGGTTCCAGCGATGGATATATTGACTGGATTTGAGGGCAAACACTGTAAGCAATAGTGAGACAAACCGTCACTAATTGTGTGTTAATTATAATAATGTCAATAAAACTCATAAACCATTCACTGGACAGACATTTGTCTCACGACTAGTGTTGACTGAATTGCAGCACATTTTGTGCGTTAGAGAGCGCTATGAATGCCATTCATTGCACTCGCAGTCAATTCACACAAATTCACTGCACTTTGCAGTCAACTCCAGAATATTCATGAAGTAGACTTTGTTTCCATATGATTGACCAGGGTACATGCCATATCTAATTTTCAAAATATTCCATGCTTCACTATAAATGTTTATTAAAATTTTTTTTAGTCAAATTATTTGAACATAAAATGTAAAATTGTAAGCATGGTAAAATCATTTATTAGATTATTTATTTCGTAAAAAGAACATATAGTTTATAGTTTATAATTTATAAAATTGTAGTTATAAATCAGTTTTAGAAAAATAAAATAAAATCGTGTAAAACTAATTAACCGGTTATTTATATAACATGAGAGTAACGGGTCTTAAGCACTGGACTCGAAAGTATATATATTTTACAATTAATTGCTAACTTATAAGACATTAGAAGTGTGGAAATGAAGTCATTTTTTTCAATTCAGGGCCTCTTTTGATTCACGTGTTATCCTCTTATTCATCCTCTTATAGGCCTTTTTAATGAATTTGATTTCCTTATCACTTCTCAAATAGCGGTCGATCTCATCGTCAGAGATATGGGGCTCAGACTCTTCGGGCTCTTCATTCTCCAGCCCTTCCTTTCTGACCTCCGATTCATAAGACCTATTCTGTCCTTTTGTCTCGTAATAGGCTTTCCTCTTAAAACTATTCATCCATGTCTTGTCGTTGTCTTCGCTATAATCGTCATCTTTTGTCATTCTTTGCGACGATTTTTGCTCTTCACATAACTTTGTGTAGACATCGCGTCTTAAGTCAAAGATCAACGAATTGGAGTATTGGATGATATCATTGACATAAAGGGCGACATTGTTTCGATGGACTCGAATGGACCGGAACTTGACAATCGGGATGTGTTTGGCGAGTTTAATAAATATGTCGTTTTGCTCCTTCACTCTCTCCACAGTTGTAAGCGTGGATCGGATGCCAAAGTCTTTGCAGAATTGAGTGAACTTGTAGTGCGCTCTTTGGGTCGGTCTGAGTGACTTCCAGCCCAGATATGTGGCCGCCGTTATCACATGCAGTGGTGACCGGCCCTCCACCAGCCAACACGCCTTCTCTATACTTATTATATCAATCACTCTGTGCTCCAAATCTTTCATTTCC